CATTCTTCTTCTGCACAACAACGACATTGGACAACCACTCAGGGTAGTGCACCTCTCTGATAAATCCCGCATCAAGCAGCCTATCGACTTCTTCCGCTATGATCTGATTACGTTCTGGAGCAAATCTTCGCTGCTTCTGTTTCACTGGTTTGAAATTGGGATTGACATTCAGGGAATGACAGGATACGGAGGGACTAATTCCAGGCATGTCTAGGTGACTCCATGCAAATACGTCGGCATTGTGGGACAAGAAATCCACTAGCTCTTGCTGCTCTTCTCTGGTCAGTCTTATACCTACTCTGGTAGTTCGCTCTGGCCTGGACTGATCGATCTGCACATCCAGAAGGGGCTCCTCGGTCAAGTCGACTGACTCCTCCACCCTATTCTGCTCGAGCGGAGGTTCCTGTAATTGCTATCTGGGGCTTGCCGAACAGACGGGCGCCTTTCCTTTCCCAACATGCTTTAGTGTGACGGAATAACACTCTTTGGCTGCGACCTGATCCCCCCGAATGTCTATCACTTTATCTCCATCGGGCCCGAGGCACCTCATGACCTGATGCAGAGTTGAGGGTACACCTCGGACTCTGTGAATCCATCCTCTTCCCATCAGGAGATTATACGAGGGGTGAATTTCCACAACCATAAAAGTTTCCATAAGAGCTCGTTCTGCAGCTTGAACTTCCACTTCCACCATCCCGACGGGTTCCACCCTCTTCCCATCGAACCCTAACAAGGGATTTCCGGTGGGCTTGAGCCTCTCTGGTTTAATGTCGAGCCTGTCAAATGTGTCCCTAGGCATGACATTCGCACTGCTCCCAGGATCGATCAGAACTCTGCGCACCAAGCAATCTGCCACTGTCAAACTGACTACCAACGGGTCGTCATGAGGCAGTTGAACACGCTGCAGGTCTGTCCAGTCGAACTTTATCTGCATTGACGGGCTCTGCTGGTGTAGAGTAGTCACATTGCCGATCCTTTTCTTCATCTGCGCCTGCTGCAGGCGCACCCGGAGTAGCTCATCTGACTCTTCACTAGGCTCGGGTCGACCATGGATAGCATTGATTATACGAACTGGTTGTGAATTGTGGGAACTTTGTTTATGACTCCTTTTTATTTGTTCCACCGGTCGATTCTGCTCCATCGCTGAACCTTGAACATAACTCGCGAACTCCCCTCTAGCTATCAACATCTCCACTTGCCTCCTCAGGTTCCTGCATTCGTTAGTCTGATGACCGAAATCAGAATGAAAAGCACAATGTTTAGTTTGATCCCTCTGTTCGAGGGGTTGCCTAATTGGCAGTGGTGGATGAAACTTGTCTTTGTTCTCCTGATACAGCCTCGCCAGAGTGACCTTCAGCGGAGTAATCAACTCTTCCTCCCTAGACCTTTTTTCTGCCTTCCAAGAGGTCTGACGTTGCGGCTGAGCTTGCTTCTGCCTGATCTTTGCCTTGGACTTTTCCTCGGTCGACACAAGCGACGTTGTCCGAGCATTAGCTGCCTCCTCTTCTTCTAGGCGCACAAAGCCATCGGCTCTCTCATTGAGTTCATCCATAGTAGTCGGCGTGTTCACTACCAGACTGGTGTGAAATGGAGTTCCGCGTGTCATAGCTAACTTGAAGGCTTGAACTGCCGTAGAAGGGTGGCATTCGATCACCATACTCTTAGTGAGATTAAACCTGGTAAGAAAGGCCTGGAGACGTTCATCCTTGTGCTGCCTCATCGTGAATAGGCTCGAGATGTCCTTCGGCGGGCGTTTGTTCCCATAGTACTGGCTTATGAACCGATCGCACAGGTCTCTGAAACTACCAATGGAGCTCCTAGGCAAGTTTTTGAACCAGCTGAGCGCCGGTCCGGCCAGGCTTGTAGGGAAACATTTGCACATTAAAGAGATGTTTTTCGTATTCAGGGCCATTTTCAACTGGATATGATACACATGATCGATCGGATCGGTCGTTCCGTCGAACAGAATAAAGACTGGCATAGCAAACTTCCTTGGATGCGGGGCATTCAAGATCTCGTCGGTGAATGGTGAATCCACCGTCCGAGCTGCGGATCGGAGAGCTTCATTCTCTCTCTGGAGTCCAGCGGTAGCTCTGTGAGTTACGGTTCTGCCCTCCGAACAGTGATGAGTGATAGTAACCATGGAGGGCCGGTAAGACGGATCGAACGACCGTTCCTCTATGAACTCTCTTTGCCAAGGCGACGCTATTCGACGGCGATCAGCCTCCATCACTTCCTCTCGGTCGAACCTTTCCCGCTGCGGATCAACGTGAGCCGATCCTTCGTGATCTTCAACTTGACGAACATTTGGCGGCAAATTGTCCATCATCCTTTCATCACGGTGGTGAGCTGACTGATTGTTCTCGTCCTGTTCGCCTTGATGCGCGATATTAGATTGAATACCTCCTTCTCCGACTGGAAGTGGATGTGAAACCGCAGGTATTTGCCGATGTTGCAGTCCAGCTTTCAATTCTGCATTCTCTTTTTTGAGAGCTTCAATCAAGTTCATCAACAACTCAAGCTTTGTTTGCTGGACAGCCTCCATCGGATTGGAGCTTTCACCTATCATTATTCCCGAACGGAGTAAAGGCATTAATCTCAAGTTCGCGAGTAGATCCGAGCTTCGTGAGTAGGAATTTTTAGATCTGGCTTCTAATTCTCCGAATTATGCTCACTGTTTACGAGATCTGAATTGTCTGAACTCTAAATCCGTCAGATCCTGCCACAATCGAACAACTCGTTGTTGCGTAGATCTGAAGCCACTCCTGCCAAAGCTTCAAGAATTGTAATTCCTCCAGAGTAGGTCATAATCGCTCAGATCTGGATTCAAATCCCAAAGTTCGAGTCTCGATCAACCGAATTGGTTTGAATCCATTCGATATTCCTCATTGATCAACCAAACTTCCATGCGTTTCCCACAGACGGCGCCAATTGAAGATGCAAGAAATTCCTTCTCCTCTTTCTCTCTCTAGAATTCTTACACCTCAACCCAAAAAAGATCCCCCTCCTTTCCATTCCATATCCTATTTATAGATATTTACAAGATATTTACAAGATATTTACTGATTGCTGGATCTGGGCCTATTCCTCCATAAGCCCTGGTCACCTTTGATGGGCTTACTCCCGTTCGGCCCATATGGCAGTGTCTTTATATGGGCTGACCCAGCTGTACGGACTGAATGTTGTGTTTGCGAGTCGGATCTGGCCCATGTCATCCGGGGCCTCCTCAAGGTCAAACCCCTAAATTCCTCATTCTTCATCTTCCTCGATCAAATCCCAAATAAGTCAGAACCCAGTCAAGTTGTCAAGAATTGTAGGCTGACATTTACCCCCTTTTGTGAAGATGTGGGGCGGAGCTTGCTGGATACACGAAGGCTTGAAAGAATCAAGTCGGAGTTAATCACACACACACACACACACACACACACACACACACATACAAGGTATATATCTGAAATTTGGGGGAAAATTGAGGTGATGGTGCTGTTGTGGCGGCAACGGCAGGGGTTGACGTCGGAGGAGGAGATGGAAGAGACGGATCATCATAGATAGGAGGTGATGGTGCTGTTGTGGAGGCGGTGACGAGGGTTGAGGTCGGAGGATGAGACAGATCACCATGGATAGGAGGTGGTGGTGTTGTTGTGGCGGCGGCGACGATAATGGTGTTGTATCTGTTACAGATCCGATGAACATACAGTGCAAGGACAGCGACGGCTCGCGGTCACGATTCCAAAAACGGGAAGGAAAGCACCCACCGTCATCGAATGAACATAGTGATGAAGTAGTGGGCAGTGGCGACGAGAAGTGATTCTGATCGGTACGAGGGCGGAACTTCAGTGGTGGCGCTAAAATGGCAACGATTGGGTTCTGTGATTGGGTTGCAATACTGGGTTGTGCTACATAATTTTTATTTATTTTCAGGATTCTGAAATCAACAAGTATGAGCGAGATATATATATATATATATATATATATATATATATATATATATATATATATATATATATTATATACAGATAGAGGGAGGGAGAGAGAACGCTGGGTTACACTAATGCTCTTCCTCCTTTCTCTGTTGAGCACGCAATAACTCTTACATCACAGACAACATTTGGATGGTAAGCAAGCTTGCTTGATACGGATTTTTCTCAAACAATTGGATGCTTCAACAAAGGCTGAGAGGAAGATGGAAGTTAGGGGATTTCCACAAGTAATTGGTGGTTGCTGAAATTTTTAATGAAGCGACATAGTTTTATATAGGAGTAAAATTGTCTTTTACTATTTTTATTATAACCAATTGGTTGGAAATGTCACATTGGGAGTTAATTGTAAAAATTCAATAGTTCAAGGGAGCAAATTATAGTTCAGGGTGGTTAATTGCACATGGCCAATGCTTTTAGGGATTTTTTTGCATTTTACCCAAAAAAAAAAAAAAAAAAAAAATCATTATGGACTTTTTTTTTTTTTTTGTTTTGTTTTGTTTTTAGCTATTAAAATTTGATATTATAAACCTCAAGCTGTTTATTAAAAAAAATGTTACTCTCAATACAATTAATTTAATTTAGATACAATTGTTTTTTTTTTGATTGAATAAAAATTTGATTTGGCTACTAAATAACTTAATTCAGTAAAATCAAAAAATTGTATTAAAATAAAAATGAAAATGATTTATCGAGATCTGGTCATGTACTTTGAAAAATTGAAACCATCCATAAAACCAAAAAAAAAAAAAAAATGCTTTTCTAATTTGAACATTCGCACTCCTTTTTATGTTTTTTTTATTGTACCTGATTTTTTCTTTATTAAAGAAATGTTTTTAGAATATGCTTTTTTGATAACAAATTATTCACATCTCCAATTAAACCTGTTTGTAGCGCTAAGAATAAAATCTTAGATTTTTTAAAAATACGTTTACGAAATTATTTTATTTTATTTTATAATCCTGGAAAGAAATACGAAAAATGTTAAAAAGGCGTATTTGTAATCATTCGTTTTCATTACCTTCTTCCTCGTTTAATTATACCCACTTTCGTCACTTTCTCTCTAAAAAAACTCACACACACACTCTCTCTCTCTCTCCTCTCTCATCCTTGAATTGATCGCCGGAAAACCAATTCACTCCGATTGACTGGATCGCATTCTGGCGATCCGTCGCCGAGGATTGCCGCTCCGATCCGTCGGCCGTCAAGTCTCTGCAACGGCTCATCAATTCAAATACCAAGCGGAACAATTATTCTCCGGTTCGTACAATAGATTCATGTTACTTTTACTTTTGTATTCGCAGCCATTTGATTTCAAATAGTGTCAAACAATGCATAGATTTATGGGTATTTGATGCAATTGATCTGTTTGAACTTGTAATAACTGCGAAATTTTGATGATTCGATCGAATGTTTTAATTGTACAAATCTAGGGTTAGGGTTTATTAATTAGATTGAGATGTTCAACAAATTAATGAAGCGAGGACACCGTAAGCTGTCCAAATCGGACAGAGACGATCCCGCGGCATGCGGGAACGGTCCTCCAGGGAATTGGAATCTGGGTTCGGTTTTATCATCCAATGTTGTGGTAAACCACGCCTCTCGGGCTGGGCCTCCGTCGCCGGTGCAACAACAGCCCGGTGGAGCTGTGATCGTAGCTGCCCCGCCATTGGGGACCATTGAAACCCTCCCTCTGTTCCAGAGCGTTCCAGCCTCCGAACGCCAGCACTTGTTTCTTCGAAAATTGCAGATTTGTTGCTTTCAATTTGATTTCACGGACACCTTAAAAATGGTTAAAGAGAAGGAGATTAAAAGACACACTCTTGGGGAGCTTGTTGATCTTATACAATCGGGTTATGGAAAAATTACAGAAAGTAATCAAGAAGAAATGATTCGGATGATTTCAGTAAATATATTCCGGTGTTTGCCACCGGCATCCCATGAAAATACAGGCTCAGAACACATGGATCCAGACGAGGAGGATCCTTACCTCGACCCTGCATGGCCCCATTTACAGCTCGTGTATGAGCTGCTGCTGCGCTATGTCGTGTCATCTGATACAGACACCAGGGTTGCTAAGCGGTACATTGATTATTCCTTTGTTTTAAAATTGCTTGATTTATTTGATTCTGAGGACCCTCGAGAACGAGAGTATTTGAAAACTATCCTTCACCGCATATATGGGAAGTTTATGGTGCATCGTCCCTTTATAAGGAAAGCAATTAATAATATATTTTATCGGTTTATATACGAGACAGAGAGACATAGTGGTATAGGCGAGCTTTTGGAAATTCTTGGCAGTATAATCAATGGGTTTGCTCTGCCAATGAAAGAGGAGCATAAATTGTTTCTCGTCCGGGCACTTATACCACTCCACAAGCCCAAGCCAATTTCATTGTACCATCAGCAGCTCTCATACTGCATTACTCAATTTGTTGAAAAAGATTACAAGCTGGCGGATACTGTGATAAGAGGTTTGCTGAAATACTGGCCTGTCATCAATTGTCAGAAGGAAGTTCTCTTTCTTGGGGAGCTAGAAGAAGTGTTGGATGTAACTCAGGCTGCAGAATTTCAACGCTGCATGGTTCCTCTTTTCAGGCAGATATCCCGCTGTCTTAATAGCCCTCACTTTCAGGTTTGGTAAAACTTTTGACCTTTTCCGTTGTTACTAGTATATTTTTATAGGTTTCAAATTTTTTTATCTGAAATTTTGCCTTTTCAAGTATGGGTTAAGTCATATGTGCATGATTAAATTTTGCAAATGTATTTGGAGGTCTAAGTTTGCTGGTTGTGGAGTTGTTGCCAAGATAAATGCTTATTTTTATGGATGGTGGATGATGGTTTTATTCTTTTTCCTTTGCTTTTCAGTTTTTCTCTAACAAATGATTCTTCTTCTTTATTTATTTATTTTTTTTGTGGTAAGTTTTTCTGTTTCTGAAATTGCTTTGATTTGGTCCGTCACAAGTTTTTGCATTTTTCATCCATTTTGTTCATATGTGGTTCTTCCTTCTCTTTTATTTTCTGTTGTAATTTTTGTTACTTCACTTAAAGTCCGATGGCTACTGCCTGTTAAGTGGTTTTATTTTATACGAGGGAAAGTAATTTTAAGGTTGTTATTGCAGTTATTTTAGTATAGGAAGATCCCAGAAGTGTTCTACTCTCCCATAGTATAAATAATAAACACTTCTGATATAAATTTACCTTATTCTGAATGGATGTCTATGCTCCTTTCTTTACCCGCCTCAGAATTTTTTTTTAACGATGTCATGCCAAAAACATTTTGGCATGTTGGGAAGGTGCTTCAATATGTTATATATGTTAATTTTTCTTGTCAATTTAGTATTCAATAGGTCATAGAGAATAGATATTGTAACTTGAAGTTTACTTCTAATATGTCTGGATGATTAATACATTCTTTTTTCAATTTAAGAAAGAAATGAATTCATATATGCACCCTATTTTCAATGATATACATCCGGAGTTAATCGATTGCTTATTATGTTATTCCTTTTTTGTCCCTAAAAATAATTTTCATAAAGAAGCATGTGCAATCGCTTCCACTTCATGTCTCTTCCTGCAAAGGCAAAAAAAATTGGCTTGCTTTGTCTTGTAGTCTTCAATATAGTTTTCTGCTCTCTAATGTGAATGCAATCTGTACTCACGACAAACTCATCACAGATTCTATTTGATCTCATGATGTGATATATCTTGATATAACCTTAAAATGCTACAAACACTGTTGTGTAGTTGATCTTTATTTCAAGTAGATAGGAAATTTACCTTGTTGGGGAAACAATTAGTGTTTATTTATTAGTATTTGTCTTCATCTTGTTTAAGTCTCTAATGAACATGATCTCAACTCTTCAACAAATTGCTTTTTGATTTTGGTAAATCTTATAGAAGGGTGAAGAACTTTTAATGAAGGAATACTAATGAAAACCACCAATCTCTCCATCAGTATTTGGGTTTGGGCCATTCATTCAAGTGTCTCCATGTTGCAATACTTTGTTTTGGAAACATTAAGAATGATATAGAGAAGAATTAATGATCTTAAAAGCCTAGTAGCCAATTGAGTTGCGACAATGGCTTGGAAATTATTTGGGTTTGGCTACGCATTATGTTTCGTCATTTAATTTAATCTAAGGTGTTACCTCAGTCAAACAAAGTGTCATCATATCTTTCCTTAACTATTTCAAATCATGTTGGTTTGGACTTCCTTTCTCCTAGCATTATCTTCAATGTGGATTACAATATGCTTCCCCATTGGTGCAGTTATTTTTCTTCGTTGTACATTGTTAAACCATCTTAGATGATTTACTATGGGTTTATCTCCAATTGGTGCTACTTCAATTATTTCATGAATTTGTTTGCTTTTCTAGTTTCATTCTTTCATGTCTTGCCACATATCCATCTTTATATTTGTGTTTTGCCCATGCTCAATCTCTTGATCCTTGATATTCATTGTATCCCCACTTGTAATTTTAGTTTTACTATAGTTATATTCCATATAATCAGTTCTGGTTGTGGTTATCTTGAAATCATTTGACCATATAGCTTCTCTCAAGACCTCTAATGAGCACTTACCCCGATTCAAGTTTCACCAGTCAGAATAATATTATCACTATATAGCATATACTATGAAATCTTATCCTGAATTTGTCATGTTAGTTAATCGATAACTGAATAGGGAAAAATAAAAAAAATAAAAAATCGGTTACTGATCCAAAATGATGTGGGCTTAATGCCGATCCTTGATGTATGTCTACACTCTACAGTTGACTTGTTTCTCCAACAATTGTTCTTAGTATGGTCACATTTCTATATTACATGTCTTTAGCATGTTTATATATCTACTTGTGACTCTTTTTAATCCAAAAATCTGTCATATAATATTTCTAGGGACCCTATGATGGGCTTTCTTCAAGTTTATAAAAATCATATGAAATATTTCTTCAGGGACCCTATGATAGGCTTTCTTCAAGTTTATAAAAATCGTGTGAAATATTTATTTTTCTCTCACTATTTTTATTTTTATTAGTCGTCCACAATAAATAAATTTAGTTGTGAACCTTAGATATGAATTGAAATTGATTGTTTGTTGTTCAATAACTTAAGCTAAAGCTTCATAGTATTATCCAGATCTAGATCTAATATATATCTTCAATAGAAAATACACGATATGCTAGTGAGTTTTTATTTCATATTGGGGAAAACTCTTGATTAGATAAATTGAATGTTTCATCATAGAGCTAAGATATGAATATTGATGATAAATAGATTAGTTTTAAAGTCCAAACTGGTGACTGAAAAGCCTTTTCATATTCATTTCGTTAATTTTTATTTTAAGAAATTTTGAGTGTGATAGTTGATGGCATACTTTTCCTTCTAAGTTCTCGCTCCAGCATGACTGTTATTGAGCATTTATTAGATTATGAAGTATGACATAAAAAATGAATACCTAGTATTGGTGCAATGACCACCTGTTAATTGGCATAAGGAATATGTGTAATGCAATAGCCATTGCTTTGTTAGGACAATATCCCTCTTATATAAACCTAGAACTAAGACTTGGTCTAACTGGAAGGGTTAATCATAGTTCCTCAAGTCATTAGTTTCTTAGTTGGGAATCTGATCATTTCAAAGTCTACGAGTGGTTGAGATCGAGTTCATTACATCAATGGGTGTGCTCTCACTAAGCTTGCATTCTAGTTGCATGTTTTTCTCATAACATTATTATTACTTCAGTTGCACGGGTCTTCCGAATATTTAGCTCAGACCAAATCGTATTGCAGGTTGCAGAGCGAGCTCTTTTTTTGTGGAATAATGAGCACATTGTGAGCTTGATTGCGCAGAATCGGAGTGTTATATTACCAATCATTTTTGAGGCTTTGGAAAAGAATATTCGTTCTCACTGGAATCAGGCAGTCCACGGGCTGACTGTTAATGTTCGGAAAATGTTCTTGGATATGGATGCTGAGTTATTTGATGAGTGCGAAAGGCAGTATGCGGAGAGAGAGGCCAATGCAAGGGAGTTGGAAGAACAGCGGCAACTGACATGGCAGAGATTGGATGCTGCTGCAGCTCAAGGAGGGTGAGGGGATTCGAATTTATATAACTGACTACTCAAAGATCGGCGGCCGAGTGCATCACAATCCAATATGATCGATTGATGGATATGCTTCTCTCTCTATTCTTTCTTCTCTATCTTGATTTTCTTATACTTTTGCATTTTTAAAGCTCAATCTGATCATTGAAGATAACGAGGCAAAAGCAGCTGGCAATATATTCTTAAATTGTATTGGAATTTGCTGGTAGCGTTGCTGGTAGCGTGCCGTTGCAGAGTAAGAATGGTTTGTGAAGTATCTTTGTTGTAATTGTTTCCCTCCACAAATTTTTCCTCTATGAAGTTCAGAAACACTCTCTTGGTTCACACTTGCAAAATTATAAACTTGCCTTTCCAAATGAATTAGGCGCCTTACTTAGTCCAGACACTGGATATATTGATGTAAATTGGGTTTGTTTGAAATTCATAATGTATTCCATTCGACAAAATTATTTATATATATATATATATATATATATATATTCCAAATTGACAATTTTAACTCACCTATTGTTTCAGTATTTACATTCATATATTACTGTCATAATATAAGAACATTTTCGATGCAAAATGTCATTTTTGTATGTTAAATTTATATTTTTAGAGGAACTACAGCTTCAAAATGTTATATTTTAGTAATTCTGTTCTAATGGTGTATTTCATCCAAAATGTTATTTTTTGACACAACAATTATTATTTTTCAACTATCATTCTCAACTATAATTTTTAACAATTATTTTTATTTTTATTTTTTTTTTGGTGTTGTGAGTGTTTGTATTTTATTTAGCTTGTCTTATTAAAAATAAATAAATAAAAACACTAACACATACATATATACACGAACACAACAGACATATATATATACACACAACAGACATACATATACATATACACACAACACTGACACATATGTATATACAAGGACATATATATATATACACACACACAAGCACAACACTAAATTGGGCAGCACAACACCAAATTGACAATCCATGTGAGAGAGAAGAGAGAAGAAAGAGAGCAATAATAGGTCTGACAATACTTATATGTTGTGTTATATTCGGCACAACATTTGACAAAATTATATTTTGGTAGTCCATTTGACGTGCCACTAGAGAGCCCATTTTAAACTCACATGATATATTTTAAAAATAGCAGCCCAAATAGTAGCTCATTGGAGTTGCTCTCCGTAAAAAATTTGCATCAGGCTTCAGCTTGGGTTGAAGTATCAATGCCCAACTGGCACAAAACATAGAAATAGGTCGCCTTTAAACAAACTAATTGGATCAAAACCAATTTGAAGTACTGTATCCACAACAAAGGCACGAACAAGTCAAACTTGTAGCATTCATCCCACAGCTGTGGCAGTTTTCGGGAGATGGGATGTATAATTACATCTTTCTTCTAGATGGCTGTTGATACTTACCGTATCATAAACGGGTGTTGGAGCTAGATTGCTGTCAGTTTTCGACTATTTCTGTTTTACTCACATTTTCTGTAATTATCTCTGTTCTACTTACAATTGCATCTTCAAAATGTTGTACTTGGACCACCTTAGGTAACGGAAATAAATTTCAAAATAAAGTAGAGTAATATACATCAATAACAATATTAATCTTACTTGTATAGTTTAGTTCCACCATAATTCAGGATATTTTAGTCAACTAAATACTCCATTAACAACAACTACATAAATTTATCAAAATGAGCATAATAATTTAAGAGAGAATAAAAAATAAATATTTTTCCAAATCTACTCATTACAAATAGTTTCTCCCTTACAAGAAGTAAACCTATATTAATAGTATGTCAAGCAATTCCTGAATAATATTTAAATTTGACTTGAATATTTACAGGCGTTTTCATTCACATCTTAGCAAAAAAAACAAAGAAAAAATATTTTCATTCATATCTTATCACAGCATCAAATATCTTATCACAGCATCAAATAAAATCAATATAATAACAGAAGATAGAAGAATTTAAAGCTAAAACAGTGGATTCAAAAGTTTATATATGCAACAATAAGGTAACGAAAATAAAGAAAATTACAAGGAATATTCTAAAAACCCTTCAACTAAAAGTAGAGTAAACTGTTTTTAGTCAGTATGTCATAAACTAATTAATCTTATTTTTATAGCTTAGTTCCATCATGAGTCAGGATATATTTATTAGTCAACTACATATTTTATTGACAATTATGTAAATTTATAAAAATGAGCTTAATTAATAATAATGAAAGAGAAAATAAAAATAAACATAGAGCAACTTACTTAAATATTTTCCGAATCTACTCATTTCAAATAACTCTTTTCTCGCCAGAAGTAGTAAAACCTATATTAATAGGACAATTTAAAGTGTCAGCAAATTTCTGAATAGTATGTATCCTTGATATTACTATGTATATATATTTGCATTCACAAATTATCCAAGCATTTAATCAAAATCAATATAATAACAGAAAGTAAAAGAATTTAAAGCTAAAACCAGGACTCAAAATTCATAATGAGTAATAGCAGAAGAAATAATATATCTATGATGAAAGAGTCAAAAGTGACAAGAAGGATAAGAGGAGTTGGCAATGGATAAAAAATTTATCTAATAATATGCGCAGGACCGTTGAGTGGGGGGATCCCTAACAATTGTAGGTGTAACATACTGTGTGTGTGTGTGTGTGTATATATATATATATAAGTCCTTTCATGAGAGAGCTAGCATGCAGAGAAGACATTAGACATGGACACACACATATACATAAACATACACACATACTGATTGATATAACATTCATCCTCATATTTTTAAAATAAGAACATATAAATATACTACTCCTAGCTGTATACAAGTTTGACAAAAATATATCCATACACATATTACTCCAATAACCTCATTAATGGCATTGATGTTCTTGATCGATCGAGATGGATTAGTAATTTAAATGTACATTTGGGCGTGTATAATTATATTTTTAACAAATCAAAATAATTTCTTTAAGAAAATCAGAGAAATAACTTTCCATATACAAATGTAAGATTACTTGTAACTTTCTTATTAATAAAATATTTTCATAAAAAGAGAATATTTCATGGCTTTAAGGAGAAAATCAAGCAAGTTAATGTACCTGATGATTGAGGGGGCATTGATTAAATAACCCTAAATCCTAGTAGATGAGAGTGATGTCTTCCAAAATTTAACTTAACTTTCTCTTCTCTTTCTCTCGCATTTATAGACGCATGCACATATATATATATATATATATATATATATATAAAATATTTTAATGTTACATAGTATATCAGTCCACCTTTATATTGTGGTCAAAACTCAAAACTGATTTTTGTCTGAAAAGCTAAAACTGTCTCAGAAATCACATGGGTTCACAGAGCAATGACCGGTCAATTTTTTTGTTTTATTTGTTTTCTCAGATTGATTGACAGGCCTTTCATCCCCATCCCACCTTTAGTTATTATCTTATCCAATACTCGCTTCATCTGTCTCATTCATCACCGTCCACGTGTCCTCAATACCACAACAGAAAACAATTTTGATCATCAACGTTGTAAAACACATTATTTTTATTGGAGAGATACAAATCCACTTGCCTGCTGTAGTTTTAATTTTGAATTGATAATACTACAATATTAATAAATTTGGTAATACAATATTACTTATTAAATTAAGAACGTCCCACAAAAAATTATCCATTTTTATATTTTTTAGGTATGTAAATGTTTTTTTATAATATTACCAATTTAATCTTTGTGTATTGAATTTATAAAAAGTAAACTGACCCACTAGACAAATTGACAAGAGATAATTTTTTATTTTATTATATATATATATATAGGATGGAGGAAGTATATTTTTATTTAATAGTGCAAAAGCATTATATGTTATATTTGTCAATATATATATATATATATAATATGTTATATGAATATTAAATTGAAGAAAAAAATATATTGCATTGGTGTTTTATTATTGTTGCATGAGTGTTGATTTTTAAAAATAGAATGTTGCATTCTTAATTTGAAATACACGAAATTATATAATGTACTAAAGAAGTGATATACATGCAAATTGTGAATAAATCTATTCAATTAAGGTGAGTAGCGTAGTGGCTTGTTCAACTTCCATTGCATCATAATATGATAACGCTAACAATCTTCACTTATTAATTAATTTTAAAAACAAAGTAATACTGTTTGAACTCGACTCAAATCTCCAACAAAGTGAGTGTTCCAGCTTGAGTTCATTTACATGCAAATTTAAACAATGCATATATGCCTGTGTTTTTCATGCCATATATCGAAATATTGATGCCATATGAGATAACAATACATATATTTATTAAAGTTGTTTTCCAAAAACACACACACATGCGCACATGAAAGAAAAAAACGTGTTTGTATATATATTATCAACCCAGTATATGCCTGTGTCTCCGTTTTCCCATAGAACTGAAAAGATGGGAACAATACAACAATAATACCGCCTCCGCCATCATGAAAAACTTCTTTAAACCACAGCATAGTCTCCGACTCTCTGTTGTGGAGACCAGTATTGTTCTTTAATGTCTCTCTATGAATTGGTTCAAAGTTTCCAAGCTAAAATTCAAATCAAAAAATAAAAGGTTGCGCAATGGCAATGCTCATAGTAATCTCTACAAAAACAAGAAAAAATGTGCATCGTGCTTTTCATGCCATTTCCAAATTGTTCATCAATGTGAAATCAAGGGGCAATTAACAGATTTCAATTTAAGCTACATCCACTGTCATATGGTTCCAGTAAATTCAGAAAAAATTGATATCAGCAAACTGTACCATTACTTCCATAACCATTCAAGATGGTAAGAATACCCAACTTCTAGTATGCTTACTGGTCAGATACCTGCCCCCAACCATAGAATGATTTAATACTTCAAAATCCAAGTTGAAATATTCAATCAAGAGCTTTGTTAAGCCTCAAGAAATTTAGTTGTTTGAATCTCAATCGTGGTTCAGTTTCTCAAAAAGCATCAGGTCTAAGGTTCGACTCTTCTGAGGAGCAAACAATTCCTTTGGGGGATGAGTATTGTAGGTGTAGGCAATGCCCCGTCACCCCAAGTCAACACTTTGCACACCATGTCATCAAAGTCAATGTCAAGATAACCTCAACTCTATTAAACTCAAAGAGGCGAAGTCCCCTAAAAAGATTTCACTTACGAAACGAGGCAAGCCAAGAACGAACAGTTGATCAAAGGACCTCGAGTCTCGATCCGACTCCATCACCCTGGACATCGAGCACACCAAAGCCTCGAATGTGCCAAGGTAAAACAGTCGATCATAGGACCCAGAGCCTCGATCTGACTCCACCAGCCTAGACATCGAGCACCCCAGAGCCTCGAATGTACCAAGGTGAGACAGTTAATCGAAGGACCCAAAGCCACGATTTGACTCCACCAGCCTAG